AAACAACAACATAAATGGGCAGCTCATCCTGCTGCCCTAACAGAGCATCTCGCATGTGATTGAGGAAGATGAGGGGCTGGTGAGTGTTGTAGGGGCTTTGGCTGGCATGATGGTGGAAAACACCATGATTGCTGGTGGCAGCACACAATGTGACATTGCCACCACGCTGCCCAGGGACACCAACAATGGCCCGTTGGCCAATCACACTACAGCCTCTCCTTCTCCTTGAGATTGAACCCAGCTTCATCCATGCAGATGTATTCATGGAGTTTTTCCATTGCATCCAGTTCAAAAACTCTCTGTAGAAATGTATATATACACATTTTTGTAGGTGATGTAGGCCAACTACAGTAAATCACTACTTACAGTAACCAACATTTATGTGTCTGGATATATACAAACCAGTACATACTGGAATCTTTGCTCTTTGACTCAATCAGAGTTGTGTTCAAAGGGCATTCAGTACAGCTGTTTCATGCGCAGTCTGTTGCACTTGAGGATACGGTCTACAGTAGAGAGGCTGACACTGTCGATACCCTCAAAATGCACATGGTCATCAATGATCCTCAGCTGAATTTCACGCAGTTTAATGGTGTTGTTCTTTAGTTGTTTAATTGTGTGGGGAGAACATAGATGTCCTACCACCCCCATGTGGCAGTCTTTCAATTCTACAAAAGAGAAAATGCACTTACAAAAATACATACATGGAATATGCCTACAAACAGTCAGACTAACCCTCCATTACAGTACCTCAGTACACTGGCATAGTGATGTACTAAAACATGTTTACTGTGGTACAGTATATAGTACAGTCATTGTACATATGTAATTGTTGTCAACATTTACATAATATGATGTCAAAAAAGGTAACTACCTGTTCTCTTCTCCAAATCTTCGGATTATGGTGGACACGGTGAATCTACTGATGTTTGGTTGTACCCTTAGTCCGGCCTCCTTCATTGTCATACCATGGACAAGAACATGGTCAATCATAGTAGCTCTGATTTCATCTGATTTTACTGTTCTTTCTCCTCTCTGACCACCTCGACCACCTTGACCTGCTCAGCCTCCTCTCACACGAACTCCTCTTCTTGGATTTCTATCCATTGTAGTGCCTCACATCATTAGCCACAAGTGTGATAAACACACACAAAACCTTCGACTTGTCTTTCAAAACCAAACAATTGACCCAAAACTATTTTACAGTTTTCTGAATTGCTAAAACACTAAAACCCATTGTAAAAACTATACTGTCAACTATGAAAACTCTTTCATCAAAAAACATTCGTTTCATGGAAATGTTTCTTTCTTAACAACACTTGTTTATTTCTAACATTCTCAAACATCTCAAAGCATGAGCTGAATATTCCTGCTCTCCAGTGTCCGTTTGTGTGGAAACATGAGAAAAAATGTAAACAATCAACACTGAAATTCAATTCAATTTATTTATACAGCACCAAATCACAACAAAGAGTCGCCTCAAGGTGCTTTATATTATAAGTTACACACTTCAAGAATATATACAGAGAAAAACACAACAATCATATGACCCCCTCTGAGCAAGCACTTTAGAGACAGTAGGAAGGAAAAACTCCCTTTTAACAGGAAGAAACCTCCAGCAGAACCAGACTCGGGGCGAGGCCATCTGCTGCGACCGGTTGGGGTGGGAGAAAGAAGACAAGACAAAATATGTTGTGTTGCTGTTGAAGACTGAGACTCCTCCTGTCAGAATAACTGCTTTTATTATAACTGATGCAAGGTTTCTTTATTTATTGTTGAAATGTCTGACCCTGTGGTACATTGTGCTGATCTCTTGCATACAAATGCAACAACAGTTTTATGAGTTGTATCACATTTGCAGGCGGTTAAAAGGAAGATAAAAATAAAACGTATTAAAGCAGAACAAAATGAGGAACTGCCCATGAGATGAGGTGATATTTTAGGGCCTTGTTAAAATAGTTGTTTCACAAATGTGGCACAACCTAAAGTTTTCTCAACAATCAAGCCTTTTACACAGTCCTGAACCATCCACCCACAAATATCTGCCCTCTACTGCTGAATCTGTCAGTCTGATCCACAACTTGTCATCTTCATTCATGATGTTTCTCATTCTTCTCTCCAGAAATGTCTGAACAGAAACAGTTGAGGAAATGACCTCACTGGAAATATCTGTGTAGGTTCTGAGTCACACAGGTCGTGGTAGAAGCAAGCTTAGTTTAGGAAGTTTAGGTTAAATTTAGGACATTTTTTAAATGCCAGTCTCTTTCTTCCCGAGCTCCTTGTTGGATTTTTCTGTGCCCCAACTTATATTAAAATGTTGATCAAAAACACTAAAGAAATGTGAATACTGCACAAGTTTACAGTTTTTTATTTACAGCTTTATTTTTGAGACCTTCCAATTGTTTTAATGTTTCTTTGTCTCTCATGTGTTTAAATGCTGATTAATAAATTTAATAAACAAAGATTTTGTTAATTACAACATAATAAAACAAAAAGATCTTAGAACAGCATCGGGAAAAAGTGATACGATGATCAGCTGGAACTTAAAATAAATAAATAATGAGACATTTTTGCTGTCCTCTCTTCTCTATGGTCGAGGTTTAGAATTACAGATGTGTTCAGCAGATTAGACAGTGGGTTTTTTGCCACTATTTGAATTATCAAATAATTTATTAGTAATAATTAATGTATTAATGTATAAATGAATAAAAGACAATCAAAGTAATTTCAAAGTAAAGAAGTATAATAAATGTATAATAAACTAAAGTGATTTGGAAATTCATTCATTTATCTTTATTCATTATTAAATCTTAAAATGCTTTATTTTAATGTGCATGATCTCCCAGTCATCTGTATAAAGGTACAGTATCTACAGGTCTGAATGTCTAGGATACTATGGGCAGAACTTTGTGCCAGACCTGGAAGCGCCCTCTTGTGGTGTAACTTAGGATCGCACTCCACTTAAAATTAAAAATACACTTGAAATCTTAAAATCAAGATCCTTCTTTAACAATTGATCAATTGATTAATATCTATTAATAATATGTAATGATATCTAATGATTTATAATTTATTGCTGGTTTTGCTTCAGATCCTGGATGCCCCCTCCCCCCGCAAAAAAAAGCGGGTTAACACAAGAAGCCGACAGGATTTTACAACAACAGCAAATGTTCTGTTGCTCGTTTAATTTCTTGTCATTCAAACACACATTTGAAGAAAGAAAAAAACAACAGCAGCACCACACTGTCAGAGGTTTTTCAGGAGTCACAGATGTGAGAGTTAAGAAATGTGTATCATTTACCACATTTACAAACAGCTTCTCACACTGAAAACTCTGAGAACCACAGCCTCCTTTTCTTGTACTGGATGAATCGATGTTAAATGTTGCATTCCTATTTTTAATAACACTGACGTGAATTACTTATTCCATTGTAACACTTCACGTCTTTCTTTCTTTGTTTCTTTTTCCTGTAAAAGTGATAATAAATAATTCATAGGTTCTTCTGTTATATGATGTACTCATTGATTCAGTATCCAAAATACTTTTTAACTTTCTAGATGGCTTTAAGTTTACAAAACAGGATCATTTATTATTTTATTATAAAAATTAATGAATTTCACAGGTGCTCCCACATTTCTTGTTCGTGTTAATCGCTTCAAAACTAAAAAGTATCAGATGCAAAATATTACTCATGTTGATTTTACTGTGTTCATTTTGTTTCTGTTTGTGGCATTATTTTAAAAATTGCATCACTTCATCCTGGTGTTTCATATGTGAATTTCAGTCACATACTTTTTTAAACTGTCCTTTTACTGCTGCTTTCTCACAAATACTTCTGTGAGGCTTTGAGCAAAATGCATCAAACCAACACTTCAGATCATCAGCTCTGCCTTTTTCTCCCATCCTCACACAGTCCTCTCCATCAGGATGTTCTTCATGTGTCCCGTTCCAATTGTCTGGCTCTTTGATGTTCCAAAACGTCAAACTAAGAGTTGAAGAACAAAAATAATTGGTTTAGTAAAAACTGATAACTTTAATTCTGGAAATGAAAAAAATATATTTTCACAACAAACAAACCGTTGATGCAGTGGTGATCTGTCCACCCACACCCATCTGCCCTCTAATGCTGAGTCTGTCAGTCCGATCCAGAACTTGTCCTCATCTCTAGTCATTACATCTCTCAGTCTTCTCTCCAGGAGCCTCTGATCACAAAAAGAAGATGAAAATGACTTTGTTAGACTTTTCTGTGCTGAGAAGGTGAAACATAAAGATGTGATATAACATGTGCGAACATGAACCTGCAGCAGTGTTTCATACCTGCTCCTCTCTGCTGTCTATCTTAACCAGGTCTCCTCTTTTAGCTCTACACTCATCTCTGCTCTGTTCCCAGGATGATTTACTGATGGAGAAGTAATAGCACTTTCCTCCATGTTGCTCCCAGCCTTCTTCACATTTATAACAAGGATCATCTTTGAAGAGATTACAGCAACGACTTCAGTCAGGTGGAAGAAATCACTGTTCATGTTTGTGTGAGCTTAGCTTGAAGTTTGTGTCTCAGAGGCAAAATCCATAACTTACCTATTACTTTAGGTACTGGACAGGTCGGCTGCACCGTGCTGCATGATTTTATCTTAGAGAGAGTCTCTGTTAGAATAAAGAATAAAACAGTCATCAGTCATTCATCAGGAATGTCTGACCAAATATCAAAGTGTATCTTAAATATTCATACCTGTGAGATTATTATCACACTTCATTTTGTCATCTTCCAGATATTTGACCTTCTTGTTAGTTTTAATTATTTCAAATGCTGATTTAAAAAAGATCAAACAAATACATCAGTCAGTAAACATTTTTCTTTACACTGAAAACATTCTTATAGCTCTGAAAATGTAAAAGACAGTATTTTGGGGAAACATTAAACAGAAGCATTATTCTTCTTAACATTACTTAAAATAATTGATTTTACTTTAAGTCTTATTAAATTCTAATGTTAACTCACTGGTAAAACACAGAGCAGCTGCCAGGAGAACACTGAGAACCACCAGGACCACTCTCTCTGAGGTGACCTTTGACCCTTTCCTCACCACAGCTTGTTGAGGATCCTCTGAATAGTGAGAAAAGGAAACACGTTAGAGATGTGAGATGTGGTGTAAATGTGGTTGAGAATTTTATTGAGCTAGATTTTAGATGTTAATGTTCTCACTGTATTTGTACAAAGAACACGATTCACTGGCTCGTTCTTCGAGCTCAGAATCACAGATTTAAAACACACAAACCTCAAAGGTAAACATATGACTTATAAGCAAGACAAACAATAACATATTTGACTGAACCGTAAGAGAGATGAAGAAAAGAGTGCAGGCAGATGAGTATGACAACTCAGGTCGAGTGGTTTAGAGACAAAGTTAGAGAGGTGAGGCTGAGATGGTTTGGACATGTGCAGAGAAGCAACAGTGGTTAAAGTGGACAAAGGACGTTGAAGATGGAGCTGCCAATAAGAATGACCACAGAGAAGATACATGGATGTTGTAAAAGGAGGATGCTAGCAATACGCCCCCTGTCATCACCCCTAAAGGAAGCAGTCGAAAAAAGATGAAGATTAAGGAGAACGCTGGCTTTGCATTAATTACAGCATCAAAGAAATATATATTTGTTATCCTGAGTGCTTATGTGGAGAGAATTAGGACAAAATCTTTAGCCGGGAATAAACACATATCGGCAGTTTGCATGAAATAATTTTGAAGGAAATTACATTTTTATTAAAAAATAACATGTCAGTAAGAGGAAGTAGGATTTTTAGTAAAGAAGATCTTTTGTACTGCAGATGCCTGATGAGCTATTTCCCAGGCAACTGTATTCTCATACTTGTAAACTTCACAAACATGTTTGTAACAAAGCCTGAAAAATGAAGGAGATGCTTCTTACATGGTTAAAGGTGTAAGAGGGTGTATTTTAACCCAGAGTATGTCCTTTTACTCAACTAACCCCGTAAAGTTTTATTGTCAATATACATCTAACCAAACGGTGGATGAGGACAACAGTTACAAGTCAAAAATATACTGGTAAACTAATTAAAACAAAAATGATATGAAAACTAATCTCCTGGATGAAACTGTGCATCCACTAACTGTCTTATGTGGACTACAAATAAGGAAAAATAAAAAATAATGTTAACAATGTTTAACAATTTTAATTTTTTTAAAAATGAAGTAGAGAGTGAGGAGGAACCGAGGGACAAAGAAAAACGGGTTGCATGGAGCTACAAGTTTCGTTTAGATAAATGAGCAGAGTGTCTGGTCAGAGTCGGTCTTTTGGGGACTAAAATTGACCAATTTTATGCAAATGATCTTTTAGCAGAGAACTGCTCCTCGAGACAACCTCAAACTCAGCACCGTAGTTCCTCTTCTGCAATAAGACGGACCAGTGGTTTCAGAGAAATGTAAAGAAACTGCATCAACATTAACACGCATGCACACACAGAGAAACTAATTTATTTAAAGGAACCACTCCTTCAGAACCACTTCCTCATTTTTTAATTAACTTTTACGTCTCTTTATAATTTCCTCAGTATAAACAAAAAAAGAAACCCCAAATTTTTTTTAAAAAATGGGGAAACTTGTAAATGAGACACTTAAAAAAACGAGTGGGTCTGATGTTGTCAAATTTAATTTACATTAAATTTAGAATAAAGTGTGGTGACAACTCAACTACAATTTTGTTTTTGTTCTTTAATAATTTTATTTCAGCTACTTTTTATACTGACAGCCTCTGTGGTGCAGTGATGTCTATCATTTATCTCATATTCATCATTGTCATCTTTTTGTCTTAAGTACTACTGTAAAAGTTTGGTGTGTTTATGTGTTGCACACATTTTGACCTTCTTTTTAAAATTTACATAAAGCTACAATTTTGGAACAAATGTTCTGCTTTTTTTCTTTTTACTGATTCAGATGGATGTTTTGTTTTCAACGACAGAGCTCTGTTTGACCAAAAAACACATTTCTGCTTTATTTTAGGAAAAAGTGCTTCCTCTGTTGTCTGTTTACTTAATAGCAAACACTAACTGGAGCTCACAGTTAATCCTCCTGTTTATTAATTACTGCTGTTTTCCTACCAGACAGCTCTGCTGTGGATGGCTGAGTCTTTGAGATCTTGATTTCAGAGTAAGTCGAGTCAGTCGATGTGGTAACGGCCTCTGTAATGAAAGATGAAACCGGATTGTTGCACAGCTACCACTGAAAATGGCTGCCAATAAAATGAGCGGCTGTAAAATAAATCACTGTATTCACATTACACTCACACCTAAGATGTAATACAAACAGCTTTTCAGATTATTCTTTTAGGAATCTTCTACATGTAGTAAGATGACTAGATAAGTCTCACCATTGGCTCTCTTTTTTCCTCTTGCAAGCTTCACATCGGAGTATACTACCTCAGCTTCAGGCATTTTGCTGTGTGTGTGTGTGTGTGGCTGCTGTGTATTAGCAGTTCTAAAAGAGAAGTTTAACAGCATACAGACAAAAAAAAAACTTCCTCACAAGAACCCACCCAAATCTCTTTTTTTTTTTTAACTTGTGGTAATTTACTTCCTGTTTTGGCGGGATAAAATGAAGTAATCTTCCATTTCAGCTCAGTGATGAATGTGCCATAAAACATCCAGTTTCACAGGAAGGTCACACACATACACGCATATATATATACGTGCGTGTGTGTGTGTGTGTGTGTGTGTGTGTGTGTGTGTGTGTGTGTGTGTGTGTGTGTGTGTGTGTGACCTGTGAAGCTAGAGTGGCTATTTGTTGCACACATTTTGTCCTTCTTTTTTAAATTTTATTACAGACAGAAATTGTTTTGGAACATATAAAATTATTTGTTCTACATTTTGTTTTCATTTTGCTGATTCTGTCGCATGTTTTGTTTCCAATGCTCGTGTCTTAAATACACATTTTGTGTTACAGCCTTTTTCCAAAATGCATTAAATTCATTTTCACCTCAAAATTCTACACAATTTTATACAGTTGTCAGCCAGGCATCTAACTATGAAAGAATTACACTCCAAAAGACCCCGGGCTTCTGAAAAAACAACCTGGGCTTAAGCCCAGTAAGCCACCCCCCGCTCCGCCACTGCCGTGGTCGCTCTGACAGAGCTCCAGCATTAATCTGTGGATAGAGGAGAAACTTCCAGAAGGACAACCATTTCTAAACTTCACCATTCAGGCCTGTGTGGTAGAAGAAAGACAGTTTTCATTAAAAGGCACATGACAGCTGGGCCGAAATCGCCCAAAAATAGTTGTGCCAAGATTGTGAAATAATTCTCAAAAGAACTGAGGATCTATTTGCTTCCAAAGATGCTTTAACAAATTATTGAACAAAGGCTGAGAACACTTATACAAATGTTTTGTTGTTGTTTTTTTACTTTTTTTTTCAAGAATTTTAAGCAAAAGTTTGATATAGGGCATAAGTTACAGCCTAGATCAGATGCAGAAGTATAATTCACGTGTTGAACGTTTTTTTGGCAGTTTTATTTATACAGCACCAAAAGTTGCACCAACTGTTGCCTAAATACACTTTATACTGTGAGGTAAAGACCCTGCAGAAACACAAAGAAAATCCCAAAAATCAGATGACCCTATATGAGCAAGCACTTGGTGTCAGTGGGAAGGAAAAACTCCTCTTAACAGGAAGAATCCTTTAGCAGAACCAAGCCCATGAAGGGGCTGCCATCTGCCACGACTGGTTGGGGTGATCAGAGACACTCCTCATCTCTATGTGTTAGCCCTTTGACAGATTGCAACCTTTCCAGGGTGTACCCTGCTTCACACTATGTGGCAACTGGGATATGCCCCAGCAACACTGGATTGGTTAAGAAGAGGATGGTCGGATAAATTATGGAATAATATATTGATATATTAATTATTGTTGTTAAAAGTTTTAACAGTGAACATTTGTGTAAACTTTATGTCAATTTAGTCACAAAAATCAGTAATTCAATTTTAAAATACCATTAAACAATACTATACTAATTATATATTAAAAAAAAAACAATCCGCAAAACAAAAGGAAATGTTTAATTATGAAGGATAAAACAAATAAATGTGTAACCTTTATTTTATGTGGCACTCTAGTGTTCATTCTGGTAAGTTTTTTTTTTTTTATTCAACGTCAGTTTCAAGTAACTATGATACTTTTCTGTTGTTGTTTTTTCTGCTTTGTTTATTTGTTTTACAAATTGGCATTTTCAATTGAAGCCCTGTTCGTAAGTTACACAAGGTGTTTTACGAATTCTATCCAATCAGCTGGCACAGGTAGCGATAGACAGAGCCCTGAGCAAGTCATTCAGCTGTTCTGGTGATAGAGCAGTCTGACAGCCAATCAAGCGCACTAGTCTAAGGGGCGGGGTTTATGCATTGTAGCGGAAGAGAATGCGGCGGTCCTTCCTTTTCTAGCCAACTTGGCTGAAGTCTACCCAGGACTTCACCGACGGACTTTATTAAAGTTTCTGCCGCGGTGCCCCCCCAGGTCCTGACATGGCCCCCAGCACGCAGCTGAAGGAGGCGATAGCCGATGTGCAGGACGGCATTCGTGCCATCCTTCTTGGACCTCCTGGAGCTGGGAAGGGGACTCAGGTGAGAGCAGAAATATCCAGACGAGCTAATGAGCTAGCATTAGCTGTTAGCGGCTAGCCTGAAATATAAGTAGTGTATTCTAGGCGCATGGTCGGTGCTAATGCTAGCCTGCCAGGCTTTAGAGCCAGCTGTCAGTCTCTTTATCTCTAGGTATATGTTCTAATCCTCTATGTAATAATAAAATTTACTCTCACAACGACCCCGTTAATGTCTGAGTTTCTGAGAAATTTCAATGCATTATCTGCTTTTAGCTTCACAGTGAAGTGCATACCGAAACCTCTACCAGCCAAATTTGTGACAGCTATTTTAATGTGTTTGTCTTTTTTTTTTTTTCTGTTGGTGCTATTTCGAAATAAGTTTAATACTGGACTCCTTCCAAAAGCAGTTTATACATTTGTTATTATAAATTGAGTATATTGTGCTGTTTACAGGCTACAGAAGCATAAAATTGTTTTAAGTTCACAACTGAAAAACTTTTTATATGATATATGAAGCAGCAGGAAAAGTACAAACCCATATTTATAAAAACCTGCTGATTCAGTTTAATACCTTGTTATTAAAATTAGTTTGCCTATTGTTTCTCCTTAAAAACCCGGAGCATCTGTGGTTTATTTTAAATAACGTGTTGTTGTTGACTGGTGAATTGTTCACAATAATGTTGAAAACAGTTCTTGATATTTACATGTAAATATTTTCTTTTGACTGTATTTATTGTTGTAAAATTGTGGTGAAAATAAATCATTTAGTTTCATATTCCTTAACTAAATGATCAATAAAAATATTTACCAGGTAAGACAGTTGCCTTTTTTATTTTTAACTTTATCATTCAGAATAGTACTCCATTTCTAATTTTTTCAGATTTTACTAAATCATCTTTACATATAAATACATCAATTGTAAATTAGAAACAATAGCCAACATTTAGTACTTGAGAAACCTCCCGGGAGCCTGCAACCAGAGCTGCAGCAGTCATACAGAAATACTAGTGTGGAGAAAACTCAGATGGAAGTCTGAGAAGACCAGTTGCATATCAGTGGGTTTTTCTTAGAATTATATTGTGCAAAACTGGAATTTCTTCAGCATTTCATTGGCATGTAAGGCTCCAGTGTCGCAGTTACATAACTCGGTAGGATTTCTGTTGCAGCTGTGTAGAGCGCTGAAACCCAGATGTCTGTCTCAGTGTGACCTTCGTCGTTGTGTCCTGCGGTTCACTGTGCAGTCCTCTCTGCTCAGGCACGTGGACGTGTCTGATAGCACAGACACGTGCTGTCAGAATAGATCCATGTGTTTGCTCTCTGATTTGTTTAGTGTTGTCATTTGTTTTGAGTGCTTTGTTTACCCAAAAGCACTCTGTTGCAAACCCCGTTTTAGTATTACCGATATTGGAGCGATCAAATGTTTTAAATAAAGCTTCAGCGTCAATTTTATTTCTATAACACGTTTCGTTACATGTACACTCAGTGTGCTTACCAAAAGAGATTAAAGGTTCGCAATGCATTAAGAGAATTTAAAAAAACAACAACACAGAGTTAAAACACAGCGTTATGTGAAAATAAAAAGGAAATGATTAATTATGTTGTGCACAAGCAGGAATGATAGTTGTTGGTTCTGGCTCATTTAAAAATGTAATTTTTTTTTCTTCAGGATATGTCAAGATTCCCTCAATTATCAATTTTTACTAAATGAATAATCAATAGTATGAATCGGTCAGTGGTGAAAATAATTGTTAGCTGGAGATGTTGAAGTATTGGACATTGCTGGCATCTATGCAGCATATGCTCTACTGCAGTTGAGGCCTTGTCTAAATGAATTAAGCTCACCTTTGTTGGTTAAGGATCTTCACTCTGTTATGATTTTAATGAGCTTATATAAATTATAACCTTTGACTTCATTAGTTGCAACATATAAAGAGAATGTCTTCTAATCTTTAATCCTCAGATGAGTTGAAAAAGTGAAAGCTACGCCGTCTAGAAGGTCGAGAGCTCCACAGATCAGTCTGTGGTGCTGAAAACTTTCTTTTCAGAGCCTTATGCTCAGAAACCTACATCATGGTTTTATTTGTCAGTGGTGCAGGAAGTATTTGTTCATCAGTGTTTAGGTCAACAGCCAAATATTTCCTTCAGTTGGTGTTTGGTAGTGATGAATAGTAGTTCCATATTAAAAAACACTCTCTCCCCTGCAGGCCCCTCGGCTAGCAGAGAAATACTGCGTTTGCCACCTGGCTACTGGAGACATGCTGAGGGCCATGGTGGCTTCAGGCTCCGAGCTCGGCAAGAGGCTTAAGGAGACGATGGATTCTGGCAAACTGGTAACTGCTCTTCTATTCATGATCTCTCTATAAACTTTTCTTCCTGTCCCTTTGTCTCCTCTGAGGTTTTTATTGACTTTGCAGCGTCTTTGATGACATCTCATGTTTTCCTTATATTACAATTACTTGCTTCCTTCCTTTTCTGCAGTGATGGTTCCAATAGAGTTGATTAAAACCACATAACTGTATCAACAATAATGCTAAAACAAAACTAATGGTGCGTTCACACCTAACGTGATAGACACGACCAGAACGTCAGGTATACAAAGTCAATGGAGGAGCATGATTGTGACTGGGGGTCCTGCTAAAATTCAGAAGCAGATTTGCATGGCGAAAACGTGACTGACGCGTTTGAAGCGCAAATAAAAATACGTGCGGCAGTTTGTGTGGTGCATTTTGTGCATTCGAGTTGGGAAGATCTGAACTCCAGTGTCAAGTCGCGCCGCGACAACCAATCAGGAACCTTGTGATGTGATTCTCTGACCTAGTTCAAAGGGGCAGGTCTAGCCAAAGCCCTTCATTCAATATGGAGGAAAGGCTCATCAACGCCGTAGCCAACCACCCGGAGCTGTATGACACCAGCTGCTTTCTCTACCGAGAATTGTAATATTATTTTGAAATTTTTGTAATGACTAATGTCTCGTTTCTACTACACAGCAAACTTGACAGACAACTTGACACATGTGGAATTTATTTCATATTATACTAAAGAAAAAATATACTACTATATAGGAACATAGTGAAGACCAATTATTTAAGAGAATAAAGAGGTTAGTTTATTTTGGAGGCAAGCTCCGTTTATTAAGAACATTTTAAAAAGGCAGGGACACTCTTTAGAGGTTTATGGGTGGCTCTTAAAAGAGTCGTTGTGGGGAAGTCGCTGGGACTTCAAATGAGAATATATCAGGTAGCAGGTATCAATAAAGGACTACCGTATAAAACACTCTGAAGCGCTCTGAAGGTGGGATTGAGCGCCTGTAGTTGGTGTCTAGACGGGCGACGCTTGGACCAATGCGGGACAGCAGATCCTCAAATTGGGCGAGGGAAAGACGGTGGTACCGCCGAAAGCGGCCGTCATCCAGGCGCAGCTCCGGGAGCAAATGGTGAAACTCACCAAACTGCTCACTCTTCTGGAGGACCTGATGGTCCCAGGTACGGCGAGGACGTCCTTTAAGCTGCTGCTCTGCTCTCCACAGTAAATAGAGAAGGGAGACTCTCTTCAAACGCTAGATTGACAGCTGCCATCTTCCAAACATACCGTCTGGCACTACTTCCTCCCACATTTCCGCTTCACGTGTGTAAAAAATTGCATATTTTGAAGTGTGACCAATTCGCATTGGTCACGCGTCGAGGTGCGAATGTGCACGCGACCAGCTAGGGGTGTCTGGCGCTTTTTGGTCGCGTGTATCACATTCGGTGTGAACACGCACCGTAAGAGAGGCATGAAGTGAAAAAGCATTTTTTAAATCCCCGGAAGTCTGCACGATGTGGACGGGCGGATGTCTGTTCCAGTTCAGTTTTTTATGCTCTTGCATGATCACTATCAAGACTACACTCCAATCCATGATCTGTATGTAGCATTCAAATCGAGTTGTATTAAATCAAGTTCAATGAACTTTATAATGACTACTTTAAAATTTGAGACTGGATCAGATTCACCTATAAAATCATGTTATACTTTTATGGTGGACATGCTCTGCTGACCTGACTTGTGTATATAACTGTTTACATATGAGAGGCACAAATTAATACAGAACAATGAACCCCAAGATTTTTATTTTTTTTGTTTTGAAGGGGGAAATGGTGTTGGGATGAGAATCTTGTTGATTTTTAAAGCCATTTTATTCTGTATCATAATAAATTGTTTGTGATTCTGTGGCCACTTAAGTCTCTTTTATGTCAAAACTCACTTCTGTAACATTTCTAGGCGTCTGTGTGTTTTCCTCTATATTTGTGTCCAGCGCTGTACACATGTTTGTGCAGCTGCTGCAGAGCTCTTTGTTTCCGTTTCATCTCCCAGCATGTAACCGAGGTTCCTGGTGTGATTTTCTGCCATCTGTTTGACTCTCACAGTTTGGTGCTGTTTGTTCATATTTGTGCACTTTAATATCAATTTCCTGTTGCTGTTTAAAAAGATTTTGTATTGACATGAAATAAATGTATAAGGCCAAAATATTGTTGCTTGATAAAGAGGAGTTTTTGTGTCCCTGCAGGTCAGTGATGAGATGGTCGTGGAGCTCATAGAGAAGAACCTTGAGTCGCCGGCCTGCAGGAACGGATTCCTATTGGATGGATTCCCCCGAACGGTCAAACAAGCAGAGATGGTGAGGACTTAATTTATTAGTGTTTTTGGTGCGTTTTTAATGTTGATTTAATAATTCTTGAGCATCGTGCAGTTTGCTTTACTTTAAATACAGATTGGCTAATGAAGAGATTAAACAAACTAGTTTTAATGTTGATTCATGAGAACTGAGCATGCTGGTAGGTTTCTTTTTCAGCTTTTGGTGCTCACAACTTTTATACTTTTTTTTTTTTTTTTATTACAAGTGTGATCACCAGTTTAGCTCGCCGAGGTGAGCTGTGTTTTAGCTCAGTGAGATGAACAGCCGTTCTGAGAGCGGGAGGCCCTAGTTCGAATCCTACTCATGGCAACATTTTATTTTCAGTAGACCGTTCAACTTCTTCAACTCTTTTCATCAAAAATTTCAGCTTCTTCACTTCTTTTAGCACAAATTTCAGCTTATTCGCCTCTTTTCAGCAGACACTTCTGCTTCTTCTGCTGTTTTTAGCAGATTCCACTATACAGCATTCATACTGCATTTTCACAGGAAATGCAACTTTTTCTAGTGTCTACATTTCATTTTCTTTTTTCAGTTTCAACTTTCCTAACAAACTGATAACACACACAAACTCTAAAACTATTTTCTCAAATATATTAAACCTAGAACTCAGAATAACCAGGCTAAAATTAATGGATGCAAATAGTTTTAGGTGGCATAATTAATCTGTTTAAAAGGGTTTTGTGAACATTGTCCTTATCTACTTTAAGTTTCTTCAAACTTCACAGAGAAAAACAAAGCTTTTATTAAAGTTTAATTACATAAACCTGAAAACAGTAGTGTTATACAGTCGGTTGTCAAAAAAGTCAGTTTGTACTTTACAGCAGATTTGTTATGTTTGACTTCCTGTGTTTGTCTCTTCAAGCTGGACGACTTGTTGGACAAGAGAGACGAGAAGCTGGACTCTGTGATCGAGTTCTCCGTCGATGATTCTCTGCTGGTTCGCAGGATCTGTGGCAGGTGGGAGTCAGTATGGTAAATGGTAAATGGCCTGTATTTGTATAGCGCTTTACTAGTCCCTAAGGACCCCAAAGCGCTTTACATATCCAGTCATCCACCCATTCACACACACATTCACACACTGGTGATGGCAAGCTACATTGTAGCCACAGCCACCCTGGGGCGCACTGACAGAGGCTGTAAAATAAATCACTGTATTCACATTACACTCACACCTAAGATGTAATATAAACAGCTTTTCAGAGATTCTTTTAGGAATCTTCTACATGTAGTAAGATGACTAGAAAAGTCTCACCATTGGCTCGTCAGTGCCCGGGGCGCACTGACAGAAATATGACAGAAAATGATTTATTCAAGACCAGAGAAAGAGTGTGGTTTATTTCTCAGGTGGGTAGCAAGTGGACAATAAGGGCAAGTTGGTGATTTTCCTTCGAGTGAGCAGCTCCTCATTCTGTCAGCGTGTTAAACCTACTCAGGTAGAGTAGATTGATTCATGCGGACGGGAGGTTCTGGGACAGTGAGATGATGTTAAGGAGAAATGGAGCATGAACGCACATGATTAGCAAAAAGTAGCCTGTAGGCGATTGAGCATCTGCAGCAAGAAGGTTTGCAGATTCAATTCTTGGAGAAGTCGACGTGTCCGTCCCTGATGGGACATGTTGAATACCACAGCTGCTCAGTGCCTGGCTGATACTCTAAAGAGCTTAGAAAGAAAGCCTGTGTCCATATCAGCTGCTGATAATGACTTATGCCTTTTTTTTTTTTTTTTTTTACACTTTGACCCATGTGATGAGCCACATGATCAATAGTGGGTCAACAACTAGATTTTAAATGCTTTGTACTCTCCACCATTTTGGTTTTAGAACGAAAGAACGTTCTCGACTGAGACGTAAAACGTCCGAGAAGTCCAGTCACCTTCTTTCCTTCTTTAGGTTCTATGATCTGGTTCCAGATTTTAACTCTAAAGAGACACGTGTGCAGAGAAAAAACATGATACTCTAATATCTGAATAACTTTGATCTAATTCATGGCTCTCAAGCAGCCACAATTAAGATTTTCAATGTAAACACAGCTACTATTTACCAGGTGATGAGCCCACAGAGTAGTCTCTTGATTTTGTTGATTCCCTAACCGCTAATAAGCCTGTGTCTAAACAGAAAATAGGATTGGCAATAGGGCTGTTCGATATAACATATATATCGGATGACGATTTAAAAACGTCTATCGTTTCATTTTACGCTATCGTTTGTTTTGTGGTGTCGCAAAATAAACTGTTTACGGCAATATTTTCTCATCGTTTTGATGGTCACTGTAGTGGCTATATTAATTTCTTAAAGTTCTCTCCTTCTCTTATGTAGCGCTTATATAACCACACTACAGACAGACAAGTGCTTGTTTTTATGCCTTGTCGTTAGCAACAACAACAGTAAAACCACCGCGTGTCCGCTTGTGTATTTTCCACATAAACCTTTCACAATAAAGCTCAAGATCCTGTTGAGACTTTTCAAAATAAACAGAATCACGTGAAAGATGCAGAGTATTTACGGATGAGAAGCAAAAAAGAGCCGCCAGGTGCTAAAAAATAAACCTTAGACTCAAACGTTAGAACAGGCTTTTCCCCGCAGCACGCTGTGTAATAAATACAAAGAAAACGTCGGCCGTTACAACTTATGTCTAAAAATGTATAGTTTCATACATCAGTTAAAACACTCGACTCCAGGTACACGACACGCAGCTGGAAACACTTCACACAAGTCGAGCTGCCCGAGATTCACAGAATTTACAGAAAATGTTACATTTTTGTGATTTATATCGTTATCGGACGATAGATGTCTTATATCGGGATATGAGATTTTGGTCATATCGCACAGCCCTAGTTGGCAACTAGGTGATGAACACACAGCATTTTGCAGCTGAAGAGGCAGATATTGTAATCATAGGAAGAAGCTAACAAAAGAATGGATTTTAATGCTTGCATTCACAGAGTGGCCACGTCATTCAAAATGTCAGTCTGCATCTGCTGAATGTGTAATAGGGCATCCATAGTCAGTATATCAGCTCCAATAAGTGTCCGCACATGGTTTAGGAACTGAATATCAGTAGAACAAATTATATTCAAAGTGGTAACATTTCATTTTAAAGTTTTATCATTTTTTTGTGAAGCACTTTGTGATGTTCATATTAATGTGCTGTGAATTTTACCTTTTGTATTTCTGTAACTATAAATGAAAGTTTACTAAAGTAACATCTTTAATGTGGATTATGTAGTAATTTGGTAATCAGCCATGCACTCATGGGTTTGTCAGTTAGCTATATTCAGAATGCTAGTCTGCTGAAAGCTGCAATGTCTGATTGAGACTTCTGCAGTGAACTTTGGTGGCGTGTCACCTATGTATGTCGCCAACACCACAGGGTTGTGCGGTTACACGTAACTCCTGTGGTGTTGCTGTATAACTTTGAACCTCGGTGACCTTCACATCTAAGTAAACTGGAAATGCATGCGAGTAATGGAGTTTATTCTGGTACATTTCAAAACAATGCATCAGTTATTCTGAATTCTGATTCATCATTATTCATTCCTCGTTCTATCCCTATTACATTGCTATACATACTGTTACAAGATTTGCATTCAGCTTTTGTTGAGAAAGTCAGCACTGGTGAACTGAAACAGAAATGTGTTACTTTCTGGTCTGACCTAATGTTTGCATAAGCTGTACATGTTGAAATGAGAGAGAACTGGAAAATAAGTTATAATTGTTACTTCTTGTTTTCTTTGGTGTGTTTCTCTCCTTTTACTTTTGTTCTTATGCAGTACATTAATACGTCTAATGATCTACAAAACAAGTCTCAGAACACTCAGTATGAGACTCTGAGCCCTGAATTGAAGCTGACCCACACGCAGACGTCTCTTCAGACATTCATCGGTGTCCCCTTTCTTCACTATACCCACTCCACATTATTCACACGTCACGCTGAGTAGAAAGCATATCTAGTTTACAGAGAGTCATCTTTCTGTCTGTGGGGGTCCTTTTTGAAGAGACTGCTGCCTTTTCAAGCCCAAGTAGGACAAGGGCATCATGTGGGATGGAAAAAAAGGACAGTTAAGTAGTTAATGAGTCACCGTGGTTGTCAAACCTCCTTCGCTCTTGCTCTGATTTCTTTAACGTCCTTGTCCTGTGCTCTGCTTCCGCTTACCATCTTCCCTCTGTTTCCCCAGACTAATTCATCAGCCGAGCGGCCGCTCCTACCACGAGGAGTTCAACCCCCCCAAAGAGTCCATGAAGGATGACGTAAGTACTTTCCACCCACTTAGAAACCATTTCTGGCTAAACTGCCACCCACCGAAAATGACTGCCAGCCTGGAAACCAGCAGAAAGATTTAGATCAGTGTTTCCATGCATTTTAGATTATTCAGTACATTTTCTCAATTAAATAGAGCCACTAATCTGCTCTTAAAGAACAAAATGTATCACAAACGAGTGGAGCAAACAAATCAACTGGAACAAATGTTGATGTTATGCAAGGATGGCAAGAATAAACACAAAATGCTGTTTTTAAATGATGATTTCATTTATTACCTGAAAAAAGCTATCCAAACCTACCTGACCCTGTGTGGAAAAGTAAATGACGCCCCCCAAAATCATGAATTAACTGTGATAAACCAGATTTTTCTTCAACCTCTCTGATAAAGCAAAGTAGGCTAAAAGATTGCATCATGATCACAAGCAACACGTCTTGCCTAAAGATGTGTCTAAAGAAACAACCGAGAAACAAAGTCTGTGTCTGGAAAGTGTTACAAAACTATTTCTAAGGCTTTGGGAATCCAGCAAACCACAGTGAGAGCCATTATCCGAAAGTGGAGCAAATTTGGAACAGTGGTGCACCAACATAGCGATTTAACAATAAGAAGAGAATGGGCAAAAGTGGCATCCACGGGAGATGAACAAAAAGGCTCGTCTGATATTTAGCAAATGTATCTTGATGATCCCCAAGACTTTAGAGAAAATATCCTGTGGCCTGATGAGACAAAAGTCAAACTTTGTAAAGGTTTGAATCCTGTTACATGTGAAGTAAAATGGACATGGCATTTTATTATTATTTTTTTAACCATTCCAGCAGACAAACATGATGTAGTGTGATGGTCTGCTTTCATGCTTCAGGCTCTGGATGACTTGTAACTGATAGAAACATGAATTCTGCTCCTGACCAGAAAATCCTGGAATGTCAAGCCATCATTTTGTGCCCTGGGTTACTTGAGTTAAGCAGGAGGACTATGATCTGAAACACACCAACAAGTCCTCCTCTTATTGGCTCAAAAATTTAAAAAAATGTTTTGCAGTGGCCTGGTCAAAGTCCGGACATAAACCTGATTGAGATGTTTTGGCAGGACCATAAACAGGCCGTTCATTCTTGTACTCTCCAATGTGGCAACAATAAGAGTGCGTCAATATCCTCCACAGCGATGTGAAAGACTGATTGCGAGTTATACAAACACTTAAATCCAGTTCTTGCTGCTGCTGATGGCACAACCAGTCATTAGGTTTAGGGGGCAAATACTTTTCACTGGCTGTTACTCAGTATTGGGTTGAATACTTCACTCCTTCATTTTATTTTCTGCATGTGGGAACTTGTCTGCTGGCAGCAACTGAATAAAATTTGTGTGGCGACGGCGAGAAGTTTCTTGTCTGCGCTATTGCAACAGGAGATTATGACACATGTACTAAATAAAAGACCAAAGGTCATGTATTAGGCCATCTACTAACTTGATTTTTAAAAATGCTAACAAGTTGTTTCAGCCTGGCAGATGGCAAAAGTTCATTTTATGATGATTAAAAACACATTTCACGCACAAATGCGCCTACCAAAAAAGACCTGAAGTTCATTTGCTGTTTTAATATGAGTTTGGAAAAAGGTCAGTGTGAAGCTTTCTAGAAACATGACGGTAGAAATTGTGATTATAACTAATAATAATGGTTTAAACAAAGAGTTTCATTTCTTTAATTATATTAATAGTGTGAGATGGTGGTGTGCTTCAAAGTAGAGTTCAACCAGTGTGTGAGTAGACGAAGACATGGCGTTGACCATGTCTGGGTTTATCATACAGAGACCGCTCGGGTAGCTTAACACCTCCCCAAGTCTCTTTGCTGACTTATATTTAGCTCATCTATGTTAAGGACTGATGAGCTTATAAAATGAGCTATCTGTCATCCACCCACGTGTCACAAGAACCAGTACTCCTGCAGTGTTTGTCAGAATTTAATCAAACTTGATGAACAGTTAGCAGGTCTTCACCGATACCCAAAAGCTGAGTCGCTGCCTGCCAGCCAGTGTGTCCTTTCTCACGTTTTCCTTAAACACTTTTCCACTCTTTACGTCTCCATTGTGGTAGTCCATGATATCAGTTGGCTGCTTTACAAAGAGTTTCTGATTCAACAGTCCACCGTTCTCAGATTCCACCTGCACTTTAGCTGTGACTGTAATTGTTTGTCTGCTCTTCAGCAGACTGGAGGGCTTCTTTAATCAGAATGTGCTGCAGGTGGAAAACAAGTTCAGGTGGCTGTAGGGCAGAACAAGGACTACCAAATTACAAACACTACCTGTGTTTATGTGCATGGAGGGTTTAAGGTTTGTGGTTCGATACCTGGCTGCTTCAGTCTGCATGCCAAAAGTGTCCTTGGGCAAGTTGTTCTCCAATACATTCATTGGAGTATAAGTGTGTGTGAATGTTAGATAAGAACCACAAATGTGTAGAAAACTGTGTTTGCATACATGAGGCATGTTTCCTCTTTGAAATGTAGTATTCGATGTTCATTTTCACACATCCTGTTACTAATAAAGTGACATGAGTCACATTAGAAGTGTCTGCTCTTCAAATAAACTCAAGTTGAAGTTTGTTTTTTGTTTTTTTGTTTTTTTTGGCAGTCTAACCGTGCTCCGTCTGCACACATGCATTAAAAAGGGGAAGCAATACAACTGGAAGTTATAATCTCATGTTTCTTTCTGCTGTTGAAGATGCGGAGAAACAACTGTAGAGAGCTTTGAAGTTTTCCTGAGATTGTCTCCTGTTTTTTCCATGAGTAGATTTCTGTGGATTAAGGAATGTGCAGCAGAGAGACTTAATTTTAATTATTCAGTATCTCCTTTGAGTTTTATACTTGACGTTCCAACGACTGTACAGTTTTATGCTTTAGTGAAAATTGCAACAATTCAGTCTGTGTGTGCAGATGTTTAAGGTGCTGTTGAACCTAATGTAGCAGAGACTAGCACCAAGCTGGTTCATGTGTGTGTGTCGTTTGAGCACACATTTTGCACCTTGCACTGTTGTGATGTGGTAATCATGAAACATTACATGTAATGAATGTCAGGTGTGACTGGACCCACAAGTACTGTGTAACACGAGTGTTTCAAAAGTGGGACATGACTGCTGCTGCACCTTGGAGTTGTTTCGGCTTGTCGTTCAACTCCCAGCTTTTGTAATCAGGTGCTGACAGCAGGCACGAGTCTGAGTCTGCAAGCAGGTCTGTCTCTGCAAGTGTTTGTTGTCGTACATCAGTGCCAGAGCACAGGGACTCACAGTCAGCACAGGGGGAGATTAATGCGATAGCTTAAAGGAGAGATTCTGCAGAAAAACATCAGATCCTAAGTCGGTGCTTTGATTCCTGTTTCTGCTGTTTTTCTTTTTCTTTTTAAAAAAATTAGTTTGAGGAACAACAGCTTTTGTAGTTATGGCAACGTGGTAGAAACCTGACTGCGAATGATCATGTAGCTATGTTGACATCCCAGTGCACAAAAGCAATGTTTAATGGTCAATGAGTGACCAGGGCTTAATGCCAGTCCTATTTGTGCATGCACATGCATTGCCTTTAACTATATTGACACAAAAAAACAATTTGGATTGAAAACTCATTGGTGCTGTGCCTTTTATGGTTAATTGAAAGATGTTTGGTGAAGCACTATATTTATTATTGAAACGGAAACAACAAATCAAGTGTTCACAAGGTGGGGGGGTTTCTCCCCCGATGAAATATTGTACCAAGCACAAATTGAGAAAACTTTCGCTTTGAAAACTGTCGAACGCTATCTGCTCAGTTTCCGATGCAACAGTTCATTTGTACAATTTACAGTTAAATACAGGACATTTTATATTAAATCAGATATTACTTTTTTTAATTACATTCCAATTACATTTTATTTGTATAGCACAAAATCACAACAACATGTGCATCAACTCACTTTATGTTGGAAGGTAAAGACTGTACAATAAAATAGACTGAAACAATAATATAACTCATAAAGTAAAATTGTATGCACTTTGGATTAGTCATGTGATATTTACATTTTTATTTTATTTTTAATCAGTTCTTGCACAACCGATCGTGTTGTCGGGCATTTCTACTTTTAACGTGCTTTACATTTTGTATGCAATTTTTTATTTTTAAATAAAGCAAAAATTTTTGCGAACTCAGAAGAACACAGTTTCTGATTCGTCTTATGTGTTTTCTTTTTTTTTTACTCTGCACTCAGGTGACGGGTGAGCCCCTGATCCGCCGCAGCGATGACAACGAGAACACCCTGCGCTCGCGCCTGGAAGCCTACCACCGGCAGACGTCCCCTCTGGTGCAGTACTACAGTGCCAGGGGTCTGCACACGGCCGTCGACGCTGCCCAGAACCCAAACGTAGTCTTCGCCTCCATCGTAGCCGCGTTCTCCGCCGCCACGGAAATGCCCGCTCGTGCCACAGCCTGTAAAGACCAAGTGTTCTTCATTTAAAGTTTTCCTTCTTTGCCGCATTGCCCTTCACCTGACTGTTTTCATGTTTTGGTTTTGTTTTCTTTCCCCCCGCGTGGTGGAGATTATACAAGAGTGGATCGAGTGTCAGAGTGGCAACAAAATGTAACTTTGAAGTGTAAACGGGGAAGATGGAGACTCGGTGTGCCGTCACGGCTCAAGAAATTCAGCAGCAATGCATCATCAATGTTACAGGAACAGAGCGGATGTAGAATCGTTTTCGTTACTCTTCATCACAGAAGAAGCCAAAATAGAGCTCATCGATTAGCACCACACTGCTGCTTTTCACCGTAGAGATGTGAGAAGGTTTTGACATTTAAGCAGTGCAGAACGCCGTGCATGTTTGTATAGATGCTCCTCACCAGAGCGCATTTTGAAAATATTGACATTTGTTGCATATTGTTTGCCTTTGCTGGACAGGTTTGCTCTTGTTTAATCAATGGCTTTGCCTTTTTTCTTCACCTTTTCTCCTAATGTTAGATTAGATCTTCTGTTTTTCCAAACCAGCTGTACTTGCTGCTCCTTCTTGTCCCTGAATGCATCTGAAGTGCAAGAAAAAGCAAAACCGGAAGTGGAGTGTGTCATAGTATGAATTATATTCTGATGTCAGTGGTCTGCAGACTGAACCTCTGCAGCAGGGTGCAGGGGGAAAGTTGAGGCACAGTAATGTTTGTGGCAACAGCCTCAGGTGTGTTCTGAAAACAGGAGGGTGAGTTCTTGGCCACAGATTGGCCCCGTGGCCAATGACGCACTCAAGTAGACAATTACTAACTGTGAAAACACCAGCATGTTAGCTGAACCAGTCACAAATCTGCTCAGTCTGACACACACGGACTTAAAATGTTTTTAAACAGAGTCAGCAGATCAAGACTGGAACATCAGTTTGCTCTCATATTAGTGGTATTGCTTTCAGTGCTTAAAGGAAAAAAATGGCTTGTATCTTCACACTTTGACCGCCTCAGTTACTGATAAAGATCCTTAATGCACTTCTGTTTTCTATGCAGAAGACATTGTGCTTTACCTAAGGCTACGTCCACACCATCGTTTTCTCTCAGTTTTGGCCTCCCATCCGCACATTACTGCCCGCGGTGGGTGTGGTGCAGCACGCAGGCAGAGAGAAAAGCTCAAAAGTATGATTGCACGTCACTAGAGGTGATATTGGAAAGTACTTGTCACCACAAGTCTTTTGCCTTTAAAGGCAAAAACATGAGCAGCCTATCAAAATGTTTAGTAGAAGTCCATCACACACGGAGAAATGCACAGTTTTCGTTTTGTATTTCATTTGGAATTGCTCCAGGTGTGTTATACCAGCAGCCTGAGGCACACATACCACTAACTAAATGATCAGTTATCTAATATATAAATGTGATTACTGATTAAAAGCCTTAAAGGTCTTAAAGGTGTGTACATTATTAAACTCTTGAGATGCTGAAACCATCATCTGATCTGCAGCTCAGAAATTACCATTATCAGTTTTGGATCATTTGGTGGTTGGAAGTAATGATAAAAATACTGGATTGATGAGCAGTAGTCCTAAGATTTGTAGTTATGCCTATCCCTCTTAAAGATAGAGGCCTGGAGGAATGCAACTATCAGGCAGGGTCTAGAGCACATGTGTCGAACTCCAGGCCTCGAGGGCCGGTGTCCTGCAGGTTTTAGATGTGTCGTTGATCCAACACAGCTGATTTAAATGGCTAAATGACCTCCTCAACATGTCTTGAAGTTCTGCAGAGGCCTGGTAATGAGCTAATCATTTTATTCAGGTGTGTTGATCCAGGGTGAGATCTAAAACCTGCAGGACACCGGCCATTGAGGCCTGGAGTCCGACACCCCTGGTCTAGAGCAATTGGTTGCAGGAGCTGGGAAACAGCTTGACAGTGGATCCAGAAATAGCGATCTATTGATATGTGGGAAAGTGTAGAACAAGACTCATTTGTGTTTCCTAATATAGTTTGCTACAGAAGTGATGAATCAGGAGTGGAAAGTGGACACTTCCTTCCCCCAAGTTGTTTCCCAGAACACACTTCATCTTTAATACGTCGTAATACCTTTAATTTTTTAATCACTATGTACTTAACTGTGAAACAGGATGCTCACTTTTTGGCATGATGTCAGCTCAGCCTGTTAATACCAGTAATATTTTTGCAGCGTTTACAAAGTTTTGGTTCCAACATGTTGTTTCCTTGATGCTGATCCTGGAATTTTAATAGTTCGAACCGCTTCCAAGAATCTGTCGGATAATTTCACGTCTGAATCCGTGATGACTGATTCGCAACCAGATAACTGACATTTCAGTTTAGTCAGCATGTTTACTGCCGATGGGTAATTAGAAAAAAGCACTCTTGGGGTTTTCTCTGGTGTTTAGTTCCTAAAATAACTGTGACCAAACTTTAAGAGTTCTGGGAAGACATGAAGACTTTTAGCGGCTATGATTAGATTTTATGATAAAACACAATCACCTTGCCACTCTTGAGGTGTAATTTTTCAGCCAAAGCAGGGATCTGTTCATGCAAAACCTACTACCTGTACAGCTACAGATAACTAAGACTTGGAATTAAATGTTTAGCAGATAAAGAGCAAGATGGTTCCTCTAGAGTTGGTCGAGACCAAAATATAGTTTAAAAAATGATTGAATGTTCTTTGGCTGCAAGATGTGTAAAGAAGCAAGTGTTTTCTTACTGTCACTGTATCGACTTAAAAGGGGACGTGCTGTGCTAATTTCCAGTTTCATATTTACCTTAAACTGGGCTCAGTTCATCCACTGAATGAACTGAGCCGGTTTATCTCCTGCTTTTTTTATCAGCTCATAATCAAGGCTTGAGCATCAGTTTTGTGGGGCTTCTGCGTGCCTGAGAAGACTATATGAAACACATTTCCTCTCAGTGGCTTCAAACAGATCCAGGAGTACAAAGAAACATCTCTGAATTGGAGTTGTGTGAAGTCTGGGGACTTTTAAAGATATGAATATGTGCTGTATGTGGAGAAACATGCGTGCAGTAGTTGAAATTCGGGCCATATTTAATGAGCTTGCTGTGTGTATTTGCAACAGTGTGTGCTGTATATATGTGACAGAAAATGAGGAAAAGACACTACTGTATGTCAGTGTGTATAGTGATTCAGCTTGGGTCTGCTGCCCCTAAGTGGCACAAAATCACTTATTGCAGGGTTGATATACAATGCAGTTCCACATTAAAGAGTCGTGAGCTAAACACACATCAATCATACTCGTATGAAAATGGCTTTTTACAATGAAGCCATCTCAAGCTCCTTTTTTCCCCTCTAAAGATGCCTGTTTATTTTTATTTTTTTTACTTCAGAGGTCTGAAAATGGAGATCAAAAGTTACATTTTAACTGTGAACTTTATTTTTTTTAAACTTGTGTTTCTGCTGTGCTTCAGGCTCTCAGCACTGACATCACTTTGTGTGACGTCACAAGGATCAGACATGAGCTGAAGGACGATTGCAAAAACCTTAACAGTAGATACTACAAGGAAATGTTTTAAGTTCAGTCTTTTTTGTTTCTGCAGCTCCCAAAAGGTGTATTTTATATTTAACCTTTTGTTTTTGTTTTGATGGTGGCTGTTTCAGATCAAACAGTTGTGATCTAAAAGGAAAACCAGTAAAAGAAACGAACGCCTTCACACTAAATAGAGACTTCCAAAGAATACTGTTTAATCTCGTTTCATCTCATCTTGTTTCTGTAGTTTCCACTTATTTTTATGTTCGCTGAAGCAGTTTTAGCTGTAAAACTTTTTTTTTTCTAAAATGTTCTTCTACAAACAACAAAGCCTTTAGGTTTTCCTGTTGTATCCTCTTTGTGCGTTCAGAATCAGAATCAGAATACTTTATTGATCCCTGGGGGAAATTATTTTTTGTTACAGTGCTCCATTTTAAACCAACATTAAGACAAGACAGACAATACACTAACTAAGAATAGTACAATATATACATATATATACATACATACATACATAAGTCAGTCATAAATAAATAGTTGGAAAAGAAACATGTGTAGTTGTAGCAGCAAACAGTGTGTTAAGTGGATGCGTTCATCCTTCACTCCTCTGTTCCTCCTTGACCTTTGGAGCCGCCTCCTTCCTCTGTAGTCACCTGGTGTTCAGTAGGAGCTTCTTGCATGCAGACTGTGTTACCTTCCTCTTTCCCTTGAATGCTGATGCATTTTTAGTCTCTCCCGGCTGTTGTGATGAAAAACGACAACAGATGTTCGGCGCTCCCGGGAGGCAGATTTCAGACTGTTACTCAACACAATGAGACTATTTCATGCTAAATTTACCTTAATATTCCATGCCGTGCTTTGTGATGCCTCCAATGCGTTTTGTCACTCTTTGAAAGCTGTAAATGTACACGTGCTATAGTTTAATCTGATTCGAAGTCTGGATGTTTTTGTCCACCTTAAATGCATTTTTTAATGGGCTTGTGAGATAGGCAGGTACATTTTGTTTGACCGAGGAAGCTTTGTTTTTGAAGTCATGCCTGGTTACGTTTTCTCTAGAAATTCACTCAAAACTTTTCTTTCCTTCTCCCCCTTGTCTTCCAGCTGGTTGAGTTCAGAGCTGCGTCATGCCCACCGAGGCGAAGGACTGGAGCTGGCAAACAGCTCAGGTGGGCAGAAAAACGGAGGGGAGGGGCAGGCAATAAGAGGGGACTCCTTAGACTGAATAAGTTAAGGTTGTTTTGGGGTTGTTGCACATTTCTATTTCAAGTAGATCATGACAGGAATAAACGAAGCCATCTTGTTGTCACAATCCTCATGTTTTCCCTTCTAATAAATTTCCTGCTTTTCTACAATCATCAAATGTTGTGCATTTTGTTTTTCACTCCAGTCTCAAATTCACTTGGCCTTTAATCCGAGAAATAAAATCATAAAATATCGTGTAGGAGTACCGTGACATTTCATGCACATTTTCTATCGAGTGTCCGCACATTTGTTGCTTGTCGTTTGACATATCATAACCTGAAGTGACACATAAAAAGGTTAGGGTTAAAGTCAGGCTATCAGTAATGGTGTGCAGTGAGGAATGAAGTGACTTCCTATTTAACAGTTCCACATATCACACACTGATGTCTGAAGGATCGAGGATCTATATGAATGATGAGAAATACACTAAATTGGACTTGCTCATAAGATGTTTTCAATTTATCTCAGAAGTTCAGAAATTGAAAACAACATATAGAAAATAGCCTAAAGGTAGTTCAGTAAAATAAATACAGGATGACAAAATTGCTCAATACAGTAAAAGGACCTCAGTTAAACAGAGGAAAAGCTTGTTTGTTTTTAAAGCGGCGCAATGACCACAAGTCAAAGTAAAATAAATTTAAATACTGCATAAAATGGCTTATTTTTATTAAAAGAAATACAAATCTGGTAAGAATCGGTGAGTTTGTGCGTAAAAGTGATTGACAGAAACACTTATAATAATCCAAATATGATGAAATCAAGGCATAAATAATCACCCCCCACAGTTCAGAGCACAGCACAGTGGAACTCAGCTTGGTGAGAGGAGCCAGTTTCCATGACCATAGGCGCAAATCTGTCAGGGACACATCAAAGACATCTCCTCATTAGGTTGGATGAAACTTACCATCCAACCTTTAATAGAGCTAAAGTATGTGTGCAACATCTGCTGCTTGAAAACATCTTGGAGCTTAAGAGTGATATATATCTGAATGTCATCTGCATAGCAGTGTTGGAAATTTTGATAAATGCTCAAAATGTGCTGAAGAGGAAACGATAAAGGTCCCAAAACAGGACAAAGGTGCAAGTACAAGGTCAAAAGAGCACGAGGATGTTTTTATTGAATGAGTGATTTTTACCAACTTTCTAAAACAACAGACAAAGCAAACAGACACCAAAGATGGTGAAGCAGAATTTATATTTTTCACATTACTGTTTCTGTTTGTTATTGAAAAAATTACGAACGTAAGCATGTGGGTTAGGAATAATAATATCACTAACCGTGTTGAATAACCTTTCAGGTTTGCCTCTTACCTTTGAAATCTGGTTTGAAACATCGGCCTCACATCTCTCACTAAAAAAAGACTAACAGATCTTTTAGAGCAACACGTTAGCAAGAAAGTGAACTTGTGAACGAGTCGATCTCCACGAGCAAGAATGCTTTCATCATAAAACTGTCAATTATCCAAGAGAAAGATTATAAAACAGGAACTAGCATTATCTAAAATGGAAAGATAATGATTATTAACCTCTTAAGCACCCATGCACCCAAAGATGGGTGCAAAAGGGAGGAGATCATGAAACCACTGGGGCCTTAACAGGTTAAAAGATTTGTTTAGGGATTGTAATCACTGTAAGGTGTTTGCTTGCAGCCAGAAGGGTTTGTCTGAATCCCTGAACTCTACTCGAGGTGCTGAGCGAGCACTGCCTTAACATGTTGAGCCGCTGAGTCATTCTGGGTCATTGCATATTATTTCACTGTGGTTTTCTTAAGAATGAAAACATTCAGTGGCCTTTCGTGCCCTGTAGATGGGGGCTTTTTCATTCTGGAAAAGATTGCTTAAGATGGAGATTGATGCCTGGATCCTATCACTGCTGCACAATCTAAGCAGGAAACTGTTGAAGTTAAGTTTTCCATTTGTTTTTGTTGCGATAAAACATGTTTTTTCTAACACAGGAAGGAAATGACAGGTTTCCGAGTCTTCGTGTAAAATATAATGAAGCTGCTGTCACTACACTGTTTCCGCTTTGAGCTAGCATGGTGAAACTTTTCCCAGAGATGGTTAAAACAGCCCTATTTCTAAGGCAAATGTTAACTGAGCTGCACTGCGTCTTACACCCAAAACATACCAGACTTGTTGGTCTATTTAAGTTGCACATGTGTGATGTTTAGTCATCATATTTGTAGGGAGTGATGAGCTCAGAGCCTTGACACCAAACTCTTAATAGTAATCCGCAGCCGTCATGAATCATCCCAAATGTGAGTTGTCTGACTGAGATGTCAAAAAAATACTAAACACATAAGTTAGTAGCAATAAACATGATCAAAGCTAAAATGTAATTAATTTTAAACTTAAAAGTTGAAGCAAATTGTTTCTGTTTACCTTTTAACCCTCAACCGTGAAGCCTGTACACCTCACACATAAAAAAAGTTTTTTACATGACCTTTGAACAAAGATTGAACTGGAGACTTCATCAATGTGACAAAACTTCAGTTTGTCAGCAGCAGTTATCAACACAAATGCACAAGTTTTTAGGTGTTATCAGCTATGCAGTCCTGTGAAAAACTATTTTTCTTCTATAAGAATTAGGAAGATGAGTAGCAGCCAGGTGCATCTAATCAAATGCAGGAAAACAATCATCTGTGTGTTAACAAACCATCGCAATCTTAGACGTGGCAGCAAGTTCATCCCAAAATGCAATGCTCAGAAAAACTATGACAAACATAAGAGCTGCATCTTAGACTCCACAGACCTCAATCAGCATGTTAAATCTTAAAGCTCACGATAGCACAAATAGAAAAAGCCTAAACAAATATGATCTTAATATCTGACCGCATTGCACAGTAGGACATTTGACGAAACCCAAACATGGAATAAACACCTCATGTCAATGCAGTGCAAATGCAGTGGTGGAAAGGTGATTTAGCTGACTTTGCAGCTACAGGACCTGGTTACCTTGCAGTCATTGATTTGACCATGAACTTCTCCATATACCAAAGTATTCTAGAGTCAAAACTGACAACTAAAGCTTCTCTGAAACTGGGTCATGCAACAGGACAACGGTCCCAAGCACAGCAGCAAATCTACAAAAGAACGGCTCAAAAGGGAAATAGTCCAGACCTCAAACTGACTGAGATGCTGTGAGTTGACTCTACATGAAAAAATGTCTGTAAGCTTCATTGAACTGAAGCACTATTGTGAAGAAGAGTGGCCCAAAATTCATCCACAGTGACGCGAGACTGATACAGTCATACAGTAAACAATCACTTGTATATGCTAACGGTGCTTCTATTGAATGGTGAGGTGTACTTAGTTTATCACAGGACTGCATAGAGTTCTGTGACGTGACCTGAGACATTTATTTGAATGCAAAAGACTTTGGTGATAATGAAGCTGTTAGAGCTAACAAACCAACAGACAAAGATCTCGTTGTCCAGAATTTCTGTTTTAGCCAGGTGTTAAACTGAGTACATGTTGTCTCTATGTTTTGAAATCTTTAAATTGACTCAATACATTAAATTCATCTAAATTTCATATCTAATTTTAGTTTCAAACCTTATCATCAATGGAAGCCACTTGGTTTTTCTCCTTTCTACTATGAAATAATGTGTGTGACCTGTAATGAATATCCCTGTTGGGAAAAAATAGACTAAATAAGAATATAAAGTATCATCAGACAATGACAACCTCAGTTTCTCATTTTTATCAACTAATCCAATTAAGGAAATCAACCAATAGGACTGTTACGGTTTATGAAACCTGCCTTTTTTGACTTTATCCTTTTTCTCCTGCAAATGAAGTCAGGTGAGTTGTTGTTTTAAAGCAGGTAGTCCCCACCTGCTTTAAAACATCAGTGATTGTTCCGATCCCTAAGAACACCCGCCCAGCCAGCCTAAATGATTATCGCCCAGTGGCCCTAACATCTGTAGTGATGAAATGTTTTGAGAGGCTCATGAAACCCTTTATTAGTTCCTTCCTCCCTCCCGACTTGGACTCATTGCAGTTTGCATACCGGACAAATAGATCCACTGGAGATGCTGTAGCACAGGTCCTGCACACCACACTGAGCCATCTAGATGAGGGACGTGGGAACTATGTGAGAATGCTGTTTATAGACTACAGCTCAGCGTTCAACACCATAGTGCCCCACATCCTTACGGATAAGCTCCGGGATCTGGGATTCAGCACATCCTTGTGCAGGTGGATTCACAGCTTTTTGACTGCGAGACCACAGTCGGTGAGAATAGGGGATGTGTACTCTCATACCCTTTCACTGAACATAGGGGCCCCCCAGGGATGTGTGCTTAGCCCTCTTCTTTATTCCCTCTACACCGCGGACTGCACGGCCAGATACCCCACTAACTCCATTGTGAAGTTCGCTGACGACACAGTGGTGGTAGGACTCATCTCCGGGAATGACGAGAGGGCCTACCGAAGCAAGGTGGACGGATTAGCAAAGTGGTGTGTGGCAAACCACCTCTCCATGAATATCAGCAAAACAAAGGAGATGGTGATTGATTTTAGGAGACAGAGGCGATAAAACTCACACCCCAATTCAGATCAATGGAAACCCTGTGGAGAAAGTCTCTAATTTTAAATACCTCGGTGATTATATCAACGAGGACCTTAATTGGAACACACATACGGACTTCCTCATCAGCAAAGGCAGACAGCGCCTCTATCATCTGAGGCGTTTAAAGAGGTTTAAGATCTCCAAGAACATCCAGAGGAGATTCTACACCGGGGTCATTGAGAGCATCCTGTGTAATAACATCACGGTGTGGTACGGGAACTGCACAGTACAGCAACAGAAAGCCCTGCAGAGGGTCGTGCGCACAGCTGAACGCACTATGGGAACATCTTTACCAACACTGCAGGACATCTACGCTGAAAGGTGCAGATCCCGGGCCATCATGATCACTAACGACTCCAGCCATCCCGCTTACAAACTGTTCAGGCCACTGAGGTCAGGGAAACGCCTCTGTAGCCTGAAAACAAGAACTGAAAGGTTCAGGAGGAGTTTTTACCCACAAACAGTGAGACTCCTCAATCAAAACACAAATCGGACAACATGATGGACAATTCCATACACAGTATATAATTTTCTTTTGAGTTTTAT